CGGAAGGCCTCTATGGGGAAGGTTGCTTTGAGACAGCATCAACTCAATGGCAGCGGTGGCGGCGGGCGGACTTGGGCTTGGGGTCACATGACAAAGCTAACTCGCTCCCCAAGGGGTTGTCGTCCACTCCATTGAGCGTCTTCCGCCTCACAGCGAACCACAGGCATTGCTGCTGTTCTCGGCGAAGGTCAGGTCCCGTCTGACTCACAGTGACCCAGGCACACCAGAGTAAGACATCATCGTCACAGTCGTTAGGTTTGAGCCTTTGTTGCAGCCGTGTGTCCATCCACGGTGTCGAGGGTCTTCCACGTTTCTGATGACCCTCTTCTTCGCCAGGCACGATGTCCTTCTGCAGGCACTGGTCTCTCCTGACACTGTTCAAAGGACGTGGGATGAAATCCCGCCACCCTCGCTTCTCCTTTCGACATTCTTCGCCAGCACCCCAATTCCAAGGCATCGGTTCTTCTTTGATCTTCCTTATTCAGGGTCCAACTTTCACAAGCGTCGGAGGCCACGGCTTGGGTCAGGCACACCTTAGTCCTCCAAGTTCAAGTCCTTGCGTTCCTAGACTCTACAGAGGTCTTGGCCCAAGGCAATGTGTCTTTTGATCTCTTGACTGCTGCTTCCTTGTGCACTGATGGTGGAGCCAAGCAGGAGGAATCTTTGACAAGCTCCATCGCTTGCTTCTCGCTGTCACAGTGTTGTGTATTGTAGGTCTCCTGGTGAGAGTTCTATTTTCCTTGACGTTGACTTACAATCCACACTGAAGGCTACAGTCTTTGCTTTTCATCAGCAAGGGCTTCCAGTCCTTTCCAGTCGGCCCAGCCATCGGGGTGAGAATTGACGGCAGAATTCAACCCCTAACAGTTGGGTTGGCTCTGCCTGTGTTTGTGTGAAGGACCCTGCGTTCTTGGATCGACTCTTTCATTCCTACCAACTTTGACCGGGCATCTACTGTCATCTGGACCAGGGGTTAGCCTACCCGTTGTATCATTAGCCCCCCCGACCCCCGGGCTGTAAGTAGGGATGGCTAAGAACCCCCAGCTTCACCCTTCCAGGATCTTGCCCGGGTAGAGACAGAGACGTCGAATCGCCCTGACACCGGAGGACGTGCGGGGTGGAGAGAAGAGGGAGGGCAGGTGGCCTGTCTGTAAGGCTGTGGCGTCAGATTGCCTAACCTGTGTGATTGTACAGAGGTCAAGCCGGGGACCCGTGAAAAAGAGGACCCTCCACAAAAGGGACCCAGTGGTTACCACAGTGGGCGCAAACCCAGGACTGTGGTTGCAGAAGGCCCGGGGTGGACAGTGCCTTTGTCGTGCTGTCCGTGGGGCTGCTGTGGGTCAGAGACAGCTTAGTGGCACCGGACATCTCACCTTGGTCGCTGGGTGCTTGTGCGCTTGGCTGCTCACCGAAGGCTGGAGGGCTGAACCCGTCAGCCGCTCTGTAGGCAGAGAGACCCAGCGACCTGCTCCCAGGGAAACTGCGGTCTTGGCAGTGGGGGAGGCAATTTCATTCTGCCCTCTTGGGTCACCCGGAGCCAGAGTCCATGGGACACCTAGGTAGCGCAGTGTGCTCTCCCGGCTCTCCAGTGCCTGGGGCCACAGTGGGAGGTTTGCATTCCCTACGAAGGGCCTCAGAAGAAAGACCGGGACGTCGGCCACTGAGGCGTTAGTGCACAGTGCCGTCCCGGCACACACAGCACAGCCAAGGTGGAAGCTGACAGCCACCTGTAACTTAATCTCATTGGCGCCAAAAAAGGTAACAACATGGGAAAATGCAGAAAAGTTGCTTCATCGCGAGCCTGGCAGCTACTCAGGGCTCAGGAAATGTTCTTTTGTGACTGTTGTGACTGTTGTTCTTGACAGAAATAGCCATTTTGATCGTCCAATTGAAGAATGCGGGGATGTGGGAGGTGGGGGGGGGTACAATG